AAAAAAAAAAAAAAAAAAAAAAAAAAAAAAAAAAAGAAAATCAGACAAAGCTGATATTGGGTCTCAGTTTCTAATATACATTAGAAATTGTAACTAAGGATATGTTCTTTCCTCTGGGAACTTTAGTTTCTTAATTCTAAAACATTGAAAATGTTAATATCTATTTAATTTACATATTTGGTGAGAGGATTAAATAAAATAATAAAAATAAAAAGTGCTCAGAACTCTTTACCATGTGCACTTAATAAATGTTAGTATTTATCCTTATCATGATCACTAGCTCCATTATCTTTATAGACATATACAGCAGTTATACTCTGAAAATATTCATGAAGTTATAAAATTCAAACACATTCTTTGGAAAATTTGGATAGCACAAAAGATGGAGAAATGCGTATACAAAATTAGATTATAAATAACAACTTTTTTTCTACGAATATGTAACATATGTTTCTTTTTTTTTTTAGAGACAGAGTCTCACTTTATCGCCCTCGATAAAGTGCTCTTGTGTCATAGCTCACAGCAAACTCCAACTCCTGGGCTTAGGTGATTCTCTTGCCTCAGCCTCCCGTGTAGCTGGGACTCCAGGCACCCACCACAATGCCTGGCTATTTTTGTGTTGCAGTTTGGCTGCGGCCAGGTTTGAACTCGTTATCCTCGGTATATAGGGCAGGTGCCCTACTCACTGAGCCACAGGTGCCGCCCATACTGTATATTTTCAAACCCTCTTACATAGAGAATTTTCTCTCAGTAATATTTTTATCTTTTTATTTAAGATTTTGTTGAAAATAGTTACCTAAATATTTATATATTAAGTTGTCCATTAATATTTATTGAATGAATATGCCTTGATTTATGTGATATTTTCATCCCAGACATTTTGTACGCTTATAGTTTTTTCATTATGAGCAATAAGGAGATTAACATAATATTCATTTATGAATTAATTCAACACATATTTATTGATCACTGATTTAGGGGCTGGATATAGATTTTTGATCAAACAGGAAAAAATTATTGTCTCAGGAAGCTTACATCCTAAAATCTTTATTTTTAATTTATTTTTATTTTATTATGGTAGATTTCTAGAAGTGGTATCTCTAAAACACAGAATATGAATCTTTTCAAGTCTATGCCAGTGTCTGAAAATGCTAATTTACATTTTAAATTTCAGTAAGATAGACATTTTCAAGTATATTATATTGTCTTCAGTAATTTGTTTCCTAGACAAATTTTTAACCTGAGTTTTACTGTATCCTGACTATGTGAAGGAATATGAGACCTAGAGTGGATAAATAGGCCCTGTATATTTGATATGAGTATAATATTGACCTCTACTCTTTCCAGTAGCATAGTAGAACAGACTCTTTTGTCTTGTCTTTAGAGACAGAGTCTTTCTCTGTCTTCCAAGCTGCAGTGGCACAACCATAGCTCACTGCAACCACCAACTTCTGGCTTTAAGTGATTCTCCCATCTAAGCCTTCTGCATAGCTGGGACTATAGTCATGCACCACCTTGTCCAGCTGCTTTTAATTTTTTCTTTTTCTTTTATTTTCTTTCTTTCTTTCTTTTTTTGCAGTTTTTGGCTGGGGCTGGGTTTGAACATGCCACCTCTGGTATATGGGGCCAGCACCCTATTCCTTTGAGTTGTCTGATTTTTTCTTTTTTTTTTTTTCGTAAAGACGGGATCTCTCCATGTTATCCAGGTTGAATCTTTATGTTTTCATAGTCAATAATGTTGTCAGAAAAGGTTTTAGCATTCTTTGTTAGATTTATTCTTAGGTGCTTATATAGGTTTTATTCCTTTGTCAATCGTCTTATAGGAGTTTCCTTAGTAATAAAAATAATTTCATGATTGCACATGTGGTAGATGAAAGAGCTTGTGTCCTTAAGCTTCAAGAAATACAAAGGCCAAAGCCAACTAGATCCTAGAAGGCCAGAAACTAAGACAATAGGAACTAAATATGACTCTTGAAAAGCCCAGTTACATTACAGTGGCATGTGATGCTTTTAACCCACCGAGTATTTTATTTGTGGCAATTGGGTCTCTCTTTGTTGACTAAGCACCAAGGTGAGTTGACAGAAGACTATAAGAGCTCCAGACTTGTGGAATATGCTGTTTTTACTCTCCCTCTTATTCCACCACTAAGTATGTTCTGGGTACATAAGTCAGTGGTTAGCACCACCTACACCTCTTGCTGCCACCATCCTCCTCTCATTTTGATCAGACACACAGGAAAACATTCAAAATGTGAATCAGAAACTGGTCAAATCAACATCTATCATCCATATAAGTCCCTAAGGCAATTCTCACAGATTATGCATCGGTTATGAAAACAAGTGAAGTGATGGCAGAGGAAAGAAGGAGGAGGCATAGGTTAGAATATGGAGATAAAAAAAACCTGCCTTATGCTGGGGCAGGGATTCCACTATTTAGGGCTCAGAAGCCTCTATATTGCTATATCCCTGGGAAAAAAAGAGAGAGAATTGAGTTGATTAAATAGACTCTGCAAGTTTTCTATTGGACCCTGCTCAGACAGGAGGAGTCATGGTTCATATATTAGTTTTCCTATGCCTCAGAACTATGAAGAGAAACCCTGAGGAAGTACCTCTGGTCATGGTAATTTTAACCTGTGGCAGAGAGGGTAGGAGGACCCAGATGGCCTGACTGAAGGAGAACTAGGACAATGATGGAGAATACCATTTTGATGGATGCCATCAGTAAGGAGTCTTCTTGGGTTTCTTGAATGTGAAGAAGCGGTAGCTTCCCTAGATGAGGGAAGAACTTCTTTCTCATAGCTCTGAATCCTACTTTATGAATTTTTTATATCCAAAAATTAATTTAATGTCTATTTATTGCATTATATTTATATAGATTTACTGGTGAGCAAGACATACATAATTTCTCCAAGGATCTTATTAAGTCATCTATGCTGGTGGGGACACACGTACACACACTCACAAACAGTACATTATGACACGACAGATGTTACAACAGGAAATTTAGGATGGAAGGAAATGATGGAGTATCTGCTGCTCTGCTATTGAAAAGGGGCCATGTCGGTGGTGTCCTTGAGAAAGTACCTTCAAAAACACGGATGGAATTTAGTCAATGGCAGAGCAGTCCTGTCAAGTTTAAGTTCACACCCTCCTGAGCAATGAGATTATTTCTTAGACTTGTTTCTGGTGTGTCCTTGGTACTCTTTTGTCATGTTACACACTGTTATGCAAGATATTCTAACTAAAGTACCCAGAAGTAAACAGTGATTTCAGCTCACTGTTAGACTCGAGGTTATAGAACTCGGTTCCATGAGAAAGGTAAATCAGAGGTGAGAAGAGTTAGAGTTGAGGTTCATGGTTTCGGTCTGAAGAACAGGGTGACAGGAGTATAACATCAGAAAGAGTCAGAGAGTTCTGCCTGAATCAGGTCTTGGGGGAAAGTATACAAGTTCTGATGTTTCTGATGTGATGTAGGGGTCCAGAAGGTACTGTTTAGCCAAAAGAGGAGAAAGACTTGGTCAGGCAGAAAAGATGGAATCAGTCTCAAGGAGCCACGGAAGGAGTGAGGTGAGTTAGAGCAGATGAGATGACATTTCATGTGACCTCTGCTAGGTTCTGTTCTGGGTGCTCTGTTATTTGTTGTTCCTTTTTAGTTTTTGCTTAGTTTCAGTATTTATTTTATTTTATTTTATTTATTAAATCATTAATGCAATTATGGGGTACAGTGTGGTGTTTTCATATACAATTCGAAATACTCTTATCAAACTGGTTAACGTAGCCTTCGTGTGGTTTTCTTAGTTATTAAGACATTCATACTCTGCTTTTAGAAAGATTCACTTGTACCCTTGTAAGATAAACCATAGAGGTGACCCCACCAATCACCCTCCCTCCACCCATCTACCCCTCTCCCCTCCCCTCTCCCTAGTTTCAGTATTTATAGGTTGATAATAACCATCAGTAAAGTCTTCCTCTGGGCAGCTTTTGCTACTACCAAAAATGCCAGTTCTCAGGTACAGGAGGAAGCATTATGATATGGACAAGAAAAGATCTGTCTTTTTAAGCCATAGCTTAATAAATACATTTGCCTATATTTTATGTATGACAAAGGAAAAATCTTAGCAAACATGGGGAGTTACAGTGGATAGTCAATGCCATAAATTTTCAACCCAGTTGGGAGCCTTCTTATGGGCTCTCAGTGGCAGTTTAGCCCCAGGACTCTGCTTTGGCTTTTCTAAGGACTAGGAGCTTGATGATAGCACGGCGTATTTCCTTGGTCTTAATACTGTATATGATTGGGTTAAGCATGGGCGGCACAAAAAGGTAGACATTCGCCATAAGAAGGTGCACAGCACGTGGAACATGCTTCCCAAAACGGTGCACCAGAGACAGCCCTACCATGGGCACAAAGAATATCAGCACAGCACAGAGATGAGAAGTACATGTTTGGAAGGCTCGGAGTTGCTCCTCTCGGGAGGCCAGGCCCGCCACTGTGTGCAGGATGAAGCCATATGACAGTCCAATGAGCACCAAGTCCAGCATCATGGTGAATACTACCACTGCCAGCCCGTACATGTTGTTAAAGGTGGTGTCTGTGCAGGCCAGGTGTATCACTTCCTGGTGCAGACAAAATGAGTGAGAGAGGACTGGAGGTCTGCAGTAAGGAAAAGTCTTCAGCAGGAGGACAAGGGGGATAAGGGCCACAGGTCCTCGGAGGATAACAATCAGGCCTGCCCGCACCATTCGCTGGCCAGTGATAATGGTCAAGTACCTTAGGGGGTGGCAGATGGCCACAAAGCGATCAAAGGACATGATGAGCAGCACTGATGACTCCATGAATGAAAATGAATGGATGCAGAACATCTGGATCTGGCAGGCTCCAAAGTAGATGCTGCGGAAGTCGAACCAAAAGATCCCCACGGTGGTTGGCAAGGTGGACAATGACAGTCCCAGGTCAACGAGGGCCAGCAAGGACAGTAGACAGTACATGGGTGTGTGCAGGTGGGGGCTGGTCTTAATGATTATCAGAATTAAACAATTTCCTGAGATGGCCACTATGTACATAAAGAAAAAGGGGATGAAAATCCAGTGTTCAATGGCTTCCAATCCAGGAAAGCCAGTGAGGTAGAACATGGGGCTAAACTGAGTAATGTTCGGTGGAACCATCAGTTGAGGACTGAGCAAATATTGGGCTGACATTCCTCAGGGATTGAGCTGAAAAGAAATGGACATTTCTTGTTACCAAGTCTTCAGCTGCACTAACATCCACAGCAACATAGGCAGCATCATGATGTCATCACCTCTGTTATCATCTATGCCACTGTTCCCCCACTCACCACCCTCACTACCTTCTTGAAAGTTTCTTAGATGACATTACCCTCGCCAATTTTCTGATTTATTTCTATTACTTTTCTTTATACTTTACTTCTATTACTTATTTGTCTTATTTCTTGGTTTATTTTCATCACTCATCCCTTGAATATAGTTTTTCCCATCCTTGGAATTTTGTGGCCACACTTTATTATTTCCCACCAGGCAATGCCATCAACTCCTGTGATTTCACTTGCCATCTATACTCCTATATTGACAGCTCCAGAACAACTTCTCTCTTTCAATTTCCGAACTTGCATATCTACTATTACATGGAGCATCTACAGCTTAAGGTTTCATAGTTACCTCCAAGCTGGGTAAAAAAGGGAACTTGTTGCTTCTTTCCCCAAACCCTTCTTGTTTATTTGTGTTAGTTATCTCAGTAGCCTATGTAAAAAAAATTAAGTTTTATGTTTTATTCCTCTGTATCACACCTCTTCCCGGTATCTAATTAATCAGTCAGCAAATCCTGGGATTTCCACTTATTGGGATTTCAATAAATATGTTTACTTACCATCATCTTCATTAATGCTAACCTGATTCAGATTGGGATTATCTCTTGTTGGATTATTCCAATTGCAATTAGTTTGCACTATTAGTTGATTATTTCAATTGATTACTCTATAGCAAAAGATATATTTATGAAGCCAAATTTGACATGAAATACAAAAGGTTTAAAATGACATTCAAGGCCCTGCCTTATTTTTTGTCTGTTTATGTCCCGTATTCTAATCTATCATTCATAAGCATGGAATCAATGAAACTAAAAATTTCTTCAGGTTCTCTAGTATTGTTACTCATATTTAAACATTTGTATTTTTATTCTTCTTGGAATAAAAGCAGTAATTTTTGAAATAGCTTTCCTTACTCTTTTTCTAGTTATTCCTCTTCATACAATCTGCCTCAGCTCAGACACGATAACTTTGAGAAAGCCTTCTTAAATTCTTCAAGGTTAGTTTGGACACCCCTCCATCTGCTCACAGTACTTTCAACTACCGTGAAAATTCTCAGGCACTATTGCCATTTTCTGTATTGTCTCTGAGATGTGGCTGCTTGTGGACAGAAACCATGTCTGCCTTTTTTTCTAAATTGTATCTTTGTTCTAGATTGACTTTTTGAATCACCACATGACTGTAACCCTTTAAATATTATTTAAGTTAATTAATAAACATTTGTTTTCACCATTAATCTTATTTAAATAATTTATATTAATTGATTCAACAAATATTTGTTGAATTTTTATTTACTAGAAGTGTAATAGTGACACAAACAGAATAGATAGGTGGACACTCTAGTGGGTACCGGTAGCTTCTGCTACTTGGAAGGCTAAAGCAAGAGGATCACTTGAGCCCAACAGTTTGAGGTTGCTATGCGGTTGCCACAGCACTTTACTGAGGTGACAAAGTAAGACTTTGTCTCAAGGAAATAAAAGAAAGAAACAAACAAACAAAATAAAGACAAAATTAAACATATACATACTATAATGCAAGTTTATGCAGTGCTATAAAGAATATGGAGCTAGTAAAAGACGAAGTTGAGAGTGATGGATTTTAGATAAGATAGAGAAGATCTCCTTGAGGGAGGAACTTTAGAGAAGAGGTCTGAATGAAATTGGGGGCAAGTGTGTGGACATCTTGAAGAACATTCCAGGCAGATGGAAGAGTAAATGAAAGTTCCTGAAGAGACAGAAGCTGGACAAATTTGAAAGATGAAAGGAGGCCAATGTACATGCCATGGAGGCAGCAAGGTGGGGAGGAGAAGGCAGACCTCATGAAGCAATAGCTAACTCCTAGATCATCTATGGTCTTGTAGGTCATGAAAGCTACTTTGAATTTTGTTATACTTGTAAGTTAAGAGTTGAGAACAGAAGTGCTACATTGATAAAGGTTTTAGAAGGTCCAGCACAGAGGCAAGGAGACAGTTAAAAGGGCTTTCTATGGGGATGATCGCAAAAGTTATAAGACAGACTGTGTTATGGTCCATTATTTCACTTCAACAAAGCATCCTTTTTGATTTACCTGTGCAATTTTCAAGTTGCTCAGCTTATCGCTATTGCTGTGGGGGCCTCCTTTGTTTCCATCCACACAGATTTTACATTTCTTGATTTTTGTGTATCTCAAAACTTTCATAATGAAGTATTTGCCCAGTTATATAGGAAGAAGCCATGGGTGCATGGTCTTATATGTATTTCAAGAAGAATTAATCAATTCTCTATAATGTTTCTGAGGGTTTAAGGTAATAAAGACTGAGAGACGACCAAAAGCTAAGCAATGTGGAGCTCATTGCTGACCTTGACAGGAGCAGTTTCAGAAGAGAGTTTAGGAATAAAATCTAATTCCAGTGTGTTCAAGACAGAAAGCCAGGAGAGAGCGAAGACACAAACAAGGGTGCTGTAGTAGTGCAGAATGCCTCTTTGATGTGCACAGAGTCAAAGTGCAGCCAGTCAGCATCCAGGTGTATTTTTCATCAAGACATTCAGTTGGTCAAATGCAGGAAAATACTATGCAGAAGTGTTGCATCAGAGCAGACTGGAGTTAGTGAGGGCTAGCAGACTGAAGTTCAGGATATATGCAAGGGAATGATTACGATAATCTACTACAAAAAAATAAATGTTAAAACATGAGGCAAGGGGCAGTGAAAAGGAAGGGGAGTTCTGGAGTCTGGTGTATAATTGAGCTTCTAGTTTATATTAAATGACACAATCCTTAGTGAGAGGAGGCCAGTGCACTGAGAATGAGTCTATCTATTGGATTAAATAAAGACAATACTGAAATCACTAAGAATTATGACTCCATCAGTAGTGGAAAGGAAGAAAAGTGAATCAGTGCTCAAATATTCAGTGAATAAGGTGAAGTGACTGGAAAGATGACTGGGGAGGGGGCAATAAGGAGAGACAGTGGTGACAGTATATGCTGCCGTACACTGAAAGAAACCTGGGAGGAGGTGGCAAGAAGGAATGATGCTCAGGAAGAGCAGGGTCAACCCTGCATCACTCTGACAAGGGGGTTAAGAAGGTGAAGAACCTTGCCAAGGCCTCACAGTCAGCTAATACTGCTGGTGGAATTTGAGCCCTAGCTGCCCAATTCAAAAGGGCGTGGCCCCCACATGACACAGAGTTCTGTAACACTCTGTGCTTGGCCAGGCCTTCTTGCTTGGGCACTTTTCCAAATGCATCTCTATCCTATCCCAGCCACCACACCCACATCTGTCTTTCTTAAATTCCCTGTGCATACTTCTATTGTTTCTATTCTTCTATATTTCATGCCTTCTTGGCAAAAACTACTATTTTTCCAACCAGTAAACACTTACTGATCCTTTAAGACTTAGTACAAATATCATTACTTCTGACAAATCTTCCCTGACTTCCTTGTGTAGAGTTAAATAAATCCTTCTTGTACTCACGTCGTACCTTTTATGTGGCACTATTAGAGTGTAAATATGCACAAACATTCTTTATATTTTTGCATTTTATATATTTATACTTATATGTAGAATATACCTATATATACATTTGTATAAGAACAAATCTGTATGGGGATAAAGATACGTAAGTGTATGGATTTACTCACACACTTTATATAACTTATATTCCTCATATACTTTATAGATATTTTTATATATGTAAAAGAGTGTACCTGTGTACATAAAATATATTTCTCTGCATAAATATACAAATATAATTATCTATGTGTATTTATATATATACTTATACTTTATATGATGTATATTACTTATTACCTATAGTGTTTATAGCTACTCTTTAATTATAACATGTCCTTATAACATAACTTTGACCTACTATTTAAAAAAATGACTGAGATTCTTTGAGAGTAGAGCTCAGGACTGTGTCTACTGCTTGGTAGGCATTACTGTGCACTTTTTTGCATGAAAAACTGAGTAAGTGAATGAATAAAGTGCTCACCTCTCGTTTTGATTACCTGTGCCCGGAATTCTGTTCTCAGCTCTGTGTTCACTGGCTTCAGGAAGAGGGCAGGGAGAGGAACCTGGTGGAAGCAAAAAGTTCATAAAAAGACAATAACAGGGCTGGGATAATTCCTCTTGGAAAAGAACTAGGGAGTTTCTCCCAGCAAGAGAGACAATTGTCCACAGTAGACAAGCAATGGGTGTTCTCCATTTTTACTGAGAAACAGGACTCCCTTCATCAGCACTTAGTCGGTCATGACTAATTACAATATAATTGCAACATTCAAGCAGAGGAAGTACAAACTAGACCATAGGAGAAAGCTCCTGAAAAGAAGGATTGTCAGTAATGTGGTAAGTAGTTAGCCCCTCACCTTGCTATCATAAACATCATAACTAGTATTTGTTTGAATTCAATATTGCTATGTTTTTTTAAAGTCAACACTTTCTTATAAGTAGAAGAATATGCAAATGAAAGCCATGTCTAAGCCCAAGCATTTGGACCTGATTCCTCATTCTTCAGCCCCCAGAGAACATTTCCACTCACATGTAAACATGCCTTTTCTGAGTAGGGTGGGGGACAATTTTGGAAGGAGGAGGTCATATCCTAGATGTCAGATAGTCACAGGGAGTTGTTTGTATGATTATAAGCAGATTGAGGGTAGATATTCCTATTACATTCACTGGCTTAGCACATAAAATGCACTTAATTATGTGTTGAATAAGTGAATGACTGCTTTCCCCTGACCCCTGTTCTTGACCCAGAAAGGGATATTCCTGGCCATATAGGAACAAGGCAGCCCTTTCTTCTGGCCTTCCTTGCAGATAATTGCAGGTGAGCTCTCTTCTTCTTTAAGGAGGGTGCACCCTATGCTCAGATCCTTTCCGTGGCTCTCCTTTTGTGCAGAGACTCTGAGAGTATCA